AAGATGATGATGTAGAAAGTGTCAAATCATCCAAGGTGATAACGTGACACTTATCACACAAACAATTAAATACATATGAAAGCATCACGTCAGTAACATACGTTGATTGATAGTCAACTAACGGTTTTGATCCAACATGAAACATTTTGACCGAAAATTGAAATGTTAGTGGCTAAAGTACGGATAAAAAACGGAGATTAAAATGACCATTGGAATAAACGTTGGGGTAATTAACATCGATGATCAATGAAAATAGGAGCCAAGAATGGGGAGGCCAACCAGGCGGGAACTGTTACAACGAAACAAGTTTGATCGAAGATCCGAATTACTGGGGATCCGAAAACATGGACATAATGCAAATAATTGGCGAAGAATTCAGCAAATCGAAGTACCCAATCACGTTCCTCAACATCACTCAGCTCTCGAGCTACCGCAAAGATGCGCACACCTCGATCTACAAGAAGCAATGGAGTCCGTTGACGCCCCAGCAGTTGGCTAACCCGGTTAGCTATGCCGATTGTGTTCATTGGTGTTTGCCTGGACTTCAAGATACTTGGAATGAGCTTCTTTTTACCAAGCTACTCTATCCCAATTAACTACTAAAATATAAACAAGTGATTGCTTTTTCTTCCATTTTTTTAATTGTAATTATCGGTTCAAATTCGAAATATATGTTTAGTATTTAAGAGGGTTTGGGTGAAAATTAATACTATGTTATATTCTTTTGAGTGTTAGGGTTCGCTTGATAATACTGTCTAAACGTACTTTTGGTTTAAAAGTCGGGTTCAAAAATAAAATCATTATCAAACAGGTAAAATTTAAAGGTAAAAGTTCGTTTAGAAGGGTGATTTTAAAATCAATCAAATTTTTTATTAGAATTAAAGTTATGCTTTTACTCTTACAGTGATGCATGGCCTCTACCCCTTTACTAAAAAAAAATTAAAATTCAATTGTTTTTATAGATTATGTATTAATTATATATTAATTACGTTTTATCCAGGAGAAGAATTTTTTAAATTCATTTTATATTTTTATTATAATTATATTTGTTATCTATATTTCTTTATAATTTAATTTAAATATATTTTATTTATTAAAATAAGTTAAATTAATATATTTTTAATTTATAATATAATGTGTAAAAGAGATATTTTATCTTATTGACAATATAAATATTAATAATATAAAATTTTTAGAATACATATTAATAATATATTTCTATCGATAAATAAAATTTTAGAGTGAATATAATTAATAAAATACATTGTTTTGAAAATCGGACCGGATCGGCCGGTTCAACCGGGAACCGTTGCCTAGTCCGGTTCAATCTAGACCGGTTGAACTGCTACTAGTGAACCGGCCAGAACCGCTGAACCGTTCAAACCGGACCGGCTGAAAACTGAAAAAAACCGGGAAAAACCAGAAAAAACTGCCAATTTTTTTTTGAAAAAAAAATTAAACCAAACGACGTCGTTTGTTAAACGAGCCAAGTCGAACTCGAGTAGTGCTGAGCTCGACTCGAACTTGAAAAATTTAAAAGTAAGCTCAACTCGATTCAAACTCACGAACTAAAAATTATGAAGTTTAACTCGAACTCGAAATATAATATTGAAACTTGAACTCGAAAAGGCTTGAACTCAAAAAAAAATTTAGAAGCTCGATTGAAGCCTAAAATTCGAGCTTGATTGAAGTGAAAGAATAGTTCATTCAATGCTTACCAAAAGGCTCCATGATTTTGAATGCCAAATTACCCCTATTATTTATAGAAGTTAGTTGAGATGATCTTCTATGTTTCTTAGCCGATTGTTTTTTTTTTAAAATTAAACCAAACAATATCATTTTGTTATGATTTTTTTAGCCCCAAATTTATTTTTTAATTATAGTTATATAATTATATTTATTATTTAATATGTTTTACCTTAAGTATTATGTTGTAGTTAATTTGAATCATTTTGTTTCACTTAGATTTTATGGTTTTTAACTTATATATGTTATGATTTGCTTTGAATATAAATTGTGATATAAATTTTTTTTTATTAAATATTTTTGGTATTTTTATTTAATTTTTTAAATAATTATGACGTCGTCCGGTTCTTCCAACCGATCGGACCGATTGAACCAGTGAACCGATAACATGACCGGTTTACTAATCAGTCCGGTTCTGAAAACCATGATAAAATAAGTAAATATCTCAGAAAAATTCAAAATTTATTATGAGCATCGGTCCACTCTCACACCTTAGTGAATCCATCAATGTTTAAGAGCCAGATCACACTTTCAATTCAAATATGAGGTTGAATAAAACATTAGACCTATTCAAAAAAGAAGAGAATATTTAATTATCAATTAAAAGGAAATTTAATTTTTTACTATTAAATGAAAGTAAAATTTAAACTAATTTATGAATGAAAAAATACCTTTTTAAAATAAAATATTACTACTTATTAGTGAATAAATAAAATCACATGAGATAAAATAAATTTTACCATGGAGAATAATTATCTTAGAAATAATTTAAAAGTTATATATAAATACTTAAAAATAAATATCCGATCAATGTAGAATATAGCTTTTTGCATCTCCAACATAGAAAAGACATTTGTTTTCTTGATCAAGTTGCATACAAGGAGCACGTGTAGGAGTGCCATCGACTGGTTTTCTTACCAGATGTCCAGGCTGTTTCAAAATTTGGAAAGGGTAAACTACGCGTTTAGTACCTAAACTATTAGTTTTAGTCTATTTTAATATTTAAACTTTTTTTTTTCAAAATTATACCTAACATTGAGTTTTTGTTTCGTTTTAGTATCCCGTCATTAAAAACTTAATGTTTTTAGTACCAAAACTATCAATTTTGTCCATTTTATTGGATGTTTTGAGACGAGTTTTGTGGAACTATATGCTTTACTCGCTAGTCTTAGAATGGCTTGTGATATGAGATGGTCTGATGTTAAATTTGAAAATGATTCCTTGATGCTCGTCCATAAGATTACACGAACTTCTACAGATATTTCCATCCTTGGGGTGTATGTTTAAGAGGCTCGTACTATTTTTCAGGATCATCATCGTTTTTGTATTTTGTATACTCTTAGAGAATGTAATTAGGTTGCTCACGCATTAGCAAGTTGGGCTTTAAATTCAGGTGGTTCTTTGTTTTTTGAGTCGGTTTGTCCCGACATCGTTACTCATCGTTACTCAGAATGTTAAAAACGATGTCATTGATCTTTGATCAATATAATTTGGGCACTCTTTTGCCCTTACTAGGTTTAGAAGGGGTTTTTAATGAGGCCCATGAGTTTCTTTCAAAAAAATTGTCCATTTTAGAACCTAAACTTTCATTTTTTTTCCAAAAATTAATGTTAAGTTTTTGATATAGGTACTAAAATGAAACAAACACAAAAATATTAGATATGATTTTAAAAATTTTAAAAGTCAAGTATTAGAACAAATCAAAACTGATAGTTTAAGTACTAAACATGCAATTTACCCAATGAAAAAATCGCACGACGTTAAATTTAACAAGTGGGCAGTATAGGATTTCCAAAGTTTTAACACAAAAATCACTTTAATTAGGATTTTTGGATAACTTATAAGCAATAATCTTTGGATTCGGACATTTTGGATTATCGTTAAATATTATTCATCATTCCTTAAAAAATATCATTAAACAAAATATATTATTTTTCAGACAAATAAAATTAATACATTAATTCATGAAAATTACCAAAAAAAAAAAAGAGGAAAAATAATTAATTAATTTTCCAGTGATGAACGCTTTGAGCAGTCAAATCAGCTTCGAGACGCAAACAAAATGGTAGCCTTTTCTTTCTTTTAGCTATTTAAACAAGTGAAACATTGATTTCCTACCCAACCACTTGCATTTCAACTTGCATATATATATATATATATATATATAATATTTATTTATTTATTTTTAATTTATATATTAAAAAATATTAATAAATTATTGAACTGAAACGTACATTTTGATTTTATAAATTATATTTTTTTTATATTTTCCCTAAATATATGATCTATATTATGAGATTATCAACATTTGAATAAATAAATAATTATTATATTGATTGTTTAACCTCTTTTCAAAAGAAACCTATAAAAATTATTAAATTTAGGGTAAATGACACCGTAAGTCACTCAATTTTAGGTTGTGTATCAATTTTAGTATTGAACTTTATAATACTTCGCAATAACTAAGTGACTTTCGTGGCCAAGGAATTGTGTTTTTTTTAGAATCCGAGTTTGAGCACCAGAAATACCATGAGTGCAAGCTTTCAATGCCAAAAGATTGAGAGTTATCTTTGAACAAATATTATCTTGTACCTACCCAAATTAATTTAAAAAAAAACTTTAAAATGCTTCATTCTATCACTCACCGGACGAAGAAAAAAAAACAATTTTTATTCCACCTCACAATTTTCTTCATCAAAAGTAAGATTTTTCATCAACTTTTAACGATAGTTAGAAATGATCATTCTTCGACATCTTTTATGACCATCTTGAACACCAATGAATTCATCTCATGGTCTTCTTTGAGTATATTGATTTAAATTTTTCTAAAACCTAATTAAACTCACAAAATTAAACATAAAAAATTCATCGTTTTTGGGTTTGAGGGTTTTCTTAAATTTGAGGAATTTGATATGTTTGTTGAAAAATTCAAACAGTAAGAAACATTTATTCGAGAATACATATAGTATGTCTAAAAACTATCGTCATCGAAAGGTCGTCGAAGGAGATTAGAGCAATAAAATAGAACGCCAAATCTTTAGAATAATTTTCATCAATTTTGAATGGGTTGAACAAAAAACCATTCAAAAGTAAAGAAAAAAGAGTGAAATATAAATATTACATTAGATCATTGATTATAGTATGCTAAAATGACCTTCAACTTTATCAAAGATTCTATTTTGATCATTAAATCTCGATACGAAAATTTAACTGATAGATATTTCATCTGTTGTTACTAACAGATCGATTCAGATCAATATCGTATCTCGAAAAAAAATTAATTTAAAAACAAAACAATTAATTTAAAGGGACGGGGATGAGTTTTTTGCTGCCATATCTTCAGCTATTTGAGCCAAAGATTGAAGGTTGCAACGTACAATAGTATCAACGAAAGTGCATGCATCTTCTCTAGTATTACCGGGCGGTACATCAACGATGAATGATTCGGTGACAACTGTCCCGTTACCTTTGTCGGAAGCGTGTACAGTGGTGACGGACCTATAATTGTTCAACCTATGAACACCGCCGACGACGCTGAAACTAAGCACGTGATGTTCATCGTCTAGGATCTCGAGTCTTTCGGTGCTGGAGACGGCGGGGAGACCCGATATCACGTGGACTTCACGGAGGCTGCCTACGTTTCCGTCGCCGACGATGACGTCACAGCTCTTGACGAAGTGTTTGTAAGCCTGAGGGTTATCGAAACGGCGAACGAGCGACCAGACGGTTTCCACGGGGGCGTTTATGGATTGAACCACGGCGGAGCAACACTGGTCGGGACCCAAGTTGTGGATATGGTAAGCAGAGACCATGTCGGGAACGGAGAGACCGTTGGGGAGAGGGAAGAAGCTTGTGAGGGTGGCATAGGGTTGAGGTTGTTCCTGGTGGTGGCAGCCGCAGATTGTGGCGGTGGTGCGGTGGAGCTGCAGAGAGGAAGGCATTGTTGTGGGTGGCTTAATCTGAGGGTGAGAGATTTGGCACTGGAATGAAGAACATGTTTTGAATATATACGATAAGATCAAAAAGGGAGGGTTTTGAGGATTTTCTTGGGGTATTTTCTTAATAACCAAACAGGCTTACGACGGACACTGCAAGTGGATCGACAAGTTGCAGCTTCTTTGGACTTTGTCTAGGAAGATTTTTCCAATTATTTTATTCAAACTATAAGATTCCACACATTTTCTTATTTATTTTCCCTTTAAGTTTATTAAAATGTTGGGTTGTTTTCAATGATGGTTGTTGAATATTATTATTATTATTATTATTATTATTATTATTATTATTATTATTATTATTATTATTATTATTATTATTATTATTATCATTATTGTTTTATTTTTCAGACCCCGGGTAGAAAATAAATACCATTAATAATAATAACACTTAAAATACATTTTCTAATGTATAGTACAAAAAACATTTTTTTTCCAAAAATGAAGTCAACTGTAAAAAACAGTTAAATTTAACTATAACCGAGTTAAAACCATAATATTTTGGGATGAAATCGAAATTTTTTAAATCCAAATTGTTAATTATATCACTCGGGTCAAAATCTGAATTTGACCCGAATTTTTACTGGTTGAGACCATGATTATAGTAGTTAATTTACGGGAAAGGGTGGCAATATTAAGTAGACTATAAAGATAGATCTCTGTACTACTTGCAGAATGATAATGGTTTTGATAAACCGTTAAGCATCATATATAGTCCTTAAATGAAATTGTTTGTTCGAATTTTTTCGATGTATTCGGAGGATCATATCGCGTACGATACTCATGTCTCGGACATGAATATCGAAGCGACATAAATATCTTCGATCGAGAAAGGGGAATTATGGGAAAGCAGGAAGATCATGCCATTTTACAAGTTAAAAAGTTTGTTACCTGTAGAAAGCACGATGATAATGGTCCATTGCAGAGAACATAATACAAGCAAGCTGAAGAGAGAACAAACCTGTTGGTCTCTCCTTAAAGAGTCGACGCTCGTTCGAGGTTCGAGTTCCTATCAACGAATACGGAAACACGAAAAAGCGGGACACAGTGTTAAGCTGCAGGAGTAGTTTAATGATCCTAACGGGGACTTGACGATGAATCTGTAATAAAAATGACAGTTTCTTACAGTTATTACTGTGGTGGGAAGCTTCGCTATGGTCGTCAACCTGTTGAAGCCTTTTCGTTTTTCATGATCATATGGAATGATTTAACTTTGTCCTCTGCTACTATCTCCCTCAATACGTCATCTTCGATCTTTTCTGCTTGCCACTGAGACGGATCTTCGACGAACGCTTCGCTAAAAATCATACTCGATACCCATTCTTTCCATGTGGTCCGACGGTACTTGTCCTCTTCGAGTGAGCCTGTCGCCAATAGCTGATACACATACACAACCTTTTGCTGACCAGGCCGAAAAGCCCGAGCAATAGCCTGCTTTGTTTTGGAAGGGTTCCATTCCGAATCCAATAAGATCACCCGCGACGCAGCTGTCAAACTAATGCCTTCGGCACATGCAGTAATCGAAGCGATTAGTACCCTTGAAGCACCACCTGGTTCCTCGAACTTGTCCATCACTAGTCCTCTCTCAAATAGCTCCAAGTCTCCTGTAAGGACTAATATTTCTCTACCCCTCCGCCATCGGAAGATTCTCTCGAACATATCCGCGAGCAAATTAATGGGGGCGATATTGTGGCAGAAGATGAGAACCTTTTCGTTCTTGATGATTCGATAAACAAGGTTCAAAACAAACATCACCTTGGAACCTTTTCTAAAATCGAACTTCATCATCTCAAGCTGCATCAACTCTTGTGGACTGAAAAATTTAGCACTACAGTTCGAAGTCCGGACCAAACTAGGATGTATCGATGCAAGTGTTATCAGAAGTTCCAATTCCAATGGATAGCCAGTATATGTAGACATTATTTTGTGCAGTTTTACCAAAATCTCATGTTGTATGTCTGTTGAGTTCATCATTAGGGTGTAAATTTGTAGACCGGGGAGGCAGTCGAAATTCCCGCCTTCATAGACATCGATGAATCCGTTTGTGATGTTCCTCAACATGTTAAGACCTTGCAGCCTCTCGCCTCCGACGCCAGCATCAATCTTCCTAGCGATTTTGTCTAGGAAGAATTTTCTTGCTCGGTTTTCTAACAAATGGCGAGCTTTGTCGAACCGCTTCTTTTTCTTGTATTTCGGGTCTAATTGCCTCAAAACTTCATGCACGAATTTCGGTCTTGCGACGCACAGGGTGTTGAAATATTCACAGAAGTTGTTCTGAAATAATGTACCCGAAAGCAATATCCTCAGATCTGTCTCGACTTTCATCAAAACCTTTCTCAACCTCGATTTAGTACTTCTCGGGTTGTGCCCCTCATCCAATACCAGGAGCCCCGGACTTTCACGCAGCACCTTAGCCATGAATTTTCGGTGCTCGAACTTTGCATCTTCTCGCATTAACGTCAAGAACGAAGTATAGCCCATGACAAGAACACTCGGTTGAGCATGCCACTTCTGTATCTTGTCGAGACAATCCAAAACATGCATAACATCTTGACTAGGTCTTGGTACTCCGTGAAACTTCATCGAGTTTTTGAAGACTCGATAACTTCTACGGCCATGAATTAAATGAACCGGTACCGGGATTTCCCACTTGATGAATTCCTTGTACCAAGTATATAGAGTTGTCTTCGGGGCAAGTACCAAAGGCCTCTTTCCCGGGAATAACTTCAAGTAGCTAGCAAGGAATGCGATAATGAGAAAAGTCTTACCGGATCCCGGTGTATGAGAAACTACACAACCGCCCGTTTTCTTCGAGGCTGGTTCCATAAGTTGAGGTACCAAAGAACCTGCGATATTTAGCCATAGGAATTCAAAGGCCCTTTTCTGGTGGAAGTGTAACTTCTTTCTAAGTTCAGGGATCAGCGCCCATACATTATCGCTTTCGTCGGACAATGGTGTTCCTATAGAAGAGTAATTGCAGAAAAGATTCAAGCCCTCTCCTTCATCTGCTTTATGCTCCGGCTCATCTTCGTAGCACGTTTTACCGTCTGCTGCTATCCAGCTTTTACGTTCCAGCTAGAAAATGGAGAACATTTTATCACACATAGTAGAGCAATGAAAAATAACAGGCAATGGAGCAATAGGAGACAATAAAAAGAGAGCGGTAACCGGAACAGCTTGCAGTCTCGAGTTTCGAACTTACAAATGGTGAAGAAACATGCTTTATTTCAGTGCTAACAAAGCCACAGATACGACATAGAACCCCGACTTCATCGTCCAACTTCAATTCATGCCGACAACTCTCACTAGCTTTCCGAAGGGACTCGGCAGATACTCTAGCCTGAGAATCATTCAATTATAAAGGCACAAATGCATCAACAGATTATCACATAAAGCAAGAATTTAATCCATAAGAAGTTTCAAAAAACTCTACCTCGTCATCTTCGAAGTAAGTCGATGCCATACATAGTTCCATTTCTCTCCATAGCATTTCGTTTTCCGACATTTCTTCCTCCTCCTCAACCTGTGGTTGTTCTGGTTCTGTTTTTCTATTCATTTCCGCTGTTGTTGCTTCCTTAAACTGATTCCACCGGTCGATAATGTGCGACTCGTCTTTTATTGATGTAGAATCAATATTCTTCATATATGAATTTATAAGTTTATTGTACGCACCGGCACCTAGAGTTGTCTTTTTGTAAGTTTTCGGATCATCGAAATCTTCCACTCGTGTTTGAGAAGATCGATAACTTTTACTCTGTACTTTTGATGGTTGAGGTCTTCCCTTCCACACATTCCCGCCATCTACATAGTCTAAAGCAGAAATTTTCTTCTGCTTGCTCGCACGGCAGCGTTTCATATTATAATAATACGTTGAGAGTTCTTCGATCTCTTTCGATAAATTTGACGGACTTCTCAGGACATGAAAGTTTCCGGAAGCTAGAGCATCGGTTTTGGAAGACACAGGAACGATAGCAAGATTATTCTGATGTTTACTCCGATTAGTTGCACGAGGTCTCCCCCGACCTTTCCCACTTGGTTTCTGAGAAGTAGTCACATCTGATTTTACCTCCTTCGGTGTACTGTTATTGTTCGGCGTGACGTCTCGTGTTTCAGGCAGGGTAAGTTCTTCTGAAGGACTCGCATTCATGCATAACAAGTGTGATATCGGCATATCCATATCCGCTTCTTGCTCGTCTTCCTCTTCTCTGCGGATGTTTATTCTATGTGCAGCTGTTAGATAAAATGTAGTCTCTGTCCCTGGAGGACAATCATGACCAATGAAACGCTCGGGTTGTACAAACCTGCGTTTAGAGCGTCGCAAGTTCATAGCATCGTAAACCGGCCATTGCTTGGTCTCATCGGCTCTAAAAGCTGCATCGATTTCATTATTTTCGAGGGGATCAAATTGGATCACATTGGACACAGAAATACCATTCTCTGATGTGATATTTACTGCGTGGAGACAATTGTTATATCTCGAGGGACTCTCATCATCTTCAGCTAGAATTTGATACACAATCTTGTTCTGCACGGACTTGACATCGAATGCAATCTGCTTCAAAACAGACGTAACGATCAGCCACGACATGTCGGATGAGAATTTCCCCAAAAATATCTTAGATTTCTTCAGTGTCGAGCAGTCCTCCGAGACATTCCATCTATAGTGCTGATCATCACATGGATGCTTTTCGAGCTTTTGTAGGATACGAATTCGATCAATTCCTACCACTTTAGTCTCTGTGCTAACAGATCCTTTCTCCGAACCGAGAGGAGCGCGGTTAACATAGAAGTTTATGTAGAACTGGCACAAGCATTTGGAATCGTGAGGCTTCCTCTCGATGGAACTTATTTTAGCATCGACCAACACCTAAAACATAAACAAAGTCATTAGACCGAAACCGGAATCATCTATGTTCAAGAAAGTATAACTTACAGGCTCCGGAGTCTCGACATCTTGACTCTCTGTCTTCTCTGGGCAGGAAAGGACGCATATATCAATACCAGGCCTCAAGAAGCAAGTGCAATCGGGCAAAGTCGCCTGACGAGACCTAACACGGAAATCAGCGAACGG